CTACATGCACGTACACGTGTGCACACGAACTCATTGAAAAGCAGGGGTTTGGACTTGTGCCTCCAGGATGAGAGTGATTCTGCTTCAAGCATATGTGTGTGTCTGTGTGGCAGAGGTTGGGGTTTTTGGGTGGTTTTCCACGCGGGATTTAAAGATATTCACAAGGGAATACAGTATGACAACAGCTAAGTGTTGAGGAGTATCTTTCCTAACATAGCAAGTATTTGCTTGTAAACTTGAGGAAGCATTCACTGCGTGACAAGATGCTTAAAAGAAAATGGACAGGGTTGGGGCACTTGGGTGGGTCCTGGGTCCAGGTCCTGGGATTGAGCCCTGCATGGGGGGGCTCTGATCTCAGCGGGGAGTCTACGTCTCCCTCTGCCTGCCGCTTCCCACCCCCCCCAACTCATGCTCTCTGTCTCATAAAGAAATAAAATCTTAAAAAAAAAAAAGAAAGAAAGAAAACGGATAGGGTTAATGTTTACACTGTGATTAACTCTTTGTAAGCATTTCTTTTGTTTAGTAATGTTGTGGGGGCAGGGAGTAACAGCAGGATATGTTTTAAGATTGTATTTATTTCTTTGAGAGAAAGAGAGGGAGCAGAGTAGCAGGGAAGGACAAGAGGGAGAGGGAGAAGCAGGTTTCCCCGCTGAGCAGGGAGCCAGGATGGGACTGGATCCCAGGACCCCGAGATCATGACCTGAGCCAAAGGCAGAGGCTTAACTGACTGAGTCACCCAGGTGCCCCACAACAGGGTTGTTGTTGGTTTTTTTTAATATGTACTTGTAATTGAATACTAACACTTTACAAAAGCATATTGTGAGAAAATGGGATACTCTTTTTCATGAAAGCTTCCTTTTTAAAAATTTCGTACTCAGTAAAGACTAATTAAAAGATATTTGAAGAAGAATCTTCTTTTTTTTCATACTTTTCTTCTCTGGCTGTGGGCTAGCATGACATAATTCCCCAGAGCCTTTTTGCTATTGAGACACAGAAAAATCCAATGAAAGAAGCATGGGGCTTCAGAGTCCAACAGATTGAAGTTCAAATCCCAGATCTACTACTAGCTATGTGATCTTGGGCAGGTTATTCAACCTAATCTTCAGCTTTTTTGTGGGGTTTTTTTTTTCTGAAAAGATGGGATAGCACCACCTCCCCACACAGCTTCATTAACTGCCACACCTCACACAGTGTCTGGCAATTAGTAAGTGTTCAACAAACATTAGTTCTCTTACCTCCCCTGAGTAGGAGGGAAAAAAGCCTTGGCGCAAACAGTCTACTTTCTCTTATATGTTAATTTTCCTGCTACCGCAGTACATGACAGAGTGATGATGTGGGGATGCCGTCCCTCATCTCTCCAAATCTCTTATACTATACCCCAGGTGTGTTTCCCTATGTACACAATGTAGCTACTCTGCCTTTCCAGCAATGATTCTGAGAAGTTGTATCACCCACTTAGATGCTATAGCCTCTCATTTGTGAACTGATCATCCATATCCAGGCAAGCACCAGAACAGTTTGGTTTGTTTTGAGGATGTCGCTACTAGGCACCTTTCCCAGAAGAGGTGGTGAGAAACTTGTGGGAAAAGTCTTTACAAGTTACTACTTCAGTTGTCTTTATTTTTAAAAGAAAAATCTTGAGCATATGGTAATGAGACCACCGCCAGATCCCATATGACAGTCTTACCTAAAGAATTTACATTCACAGGATAAATGTAGGGGATGAAGCCAGTGATAAGGAACTCTTAGAGCAACTGACCTATTTCCCCCAAGTTCCACAAACTGTGTTATTCCTGAGGAAGGAGCCAGTTCAGATGAGGGCCTACTATGCACGGACTAGATGTTATAGGAGAAATTTTTGACTTTGAAAAGTGTTCAGCATGCTAAGCTTTTGGGCATTGGAGCAGGGAGGAGGATACAAGCAACCCCCTATGACCAACACACAACTAAAGTGTACAACCAGAGAGCAAGAGGTTAGGCCTTGATGATCATCTACATTTCATTCCTCCAAGGTCAGGGGCACCTGAGTGGCTCAGTCGGTTAAGTGTCTGCCTTCGGCTCAGGTCATGATCCCGGGGCCCTGGGATCCAGCCCTACATCAGGCTCCCTGCTCAGCGGGAAGTCTGCTTCTCCCTCTCCCTCTGCTCCTTCTCTCTCTCAAATACACAAATAAAATCTTAAAAAAAATAATTCCTCCAAGGTCAGCATAATCTAAGTGCAGAAAAAGCCAAGTGCAAGCCTTTGGGGGAAGCCACACTTGAAAAGTAGGAGGAAATTAAAACAGTAAATTAAACTAGAAAGAGCCATAAAAGGGAAAGAAAGCAGGATATCACAAGGTCAAAACAAAAAACAAAACAAGAATCTTCAGTGGCATCAAAAGTAACAATGAATTCAAAAAAGAGAAGCAGCAAAAAGTGATTTGACCAGGAGGAAGTTAGCTGCGGTTTCTGAGGTTAAGTGGTTTCTGACTGAGCAGGTGGTTTCTATTACATAAACGATGGTTTATATGGAATGAGCTATTTAGATCAACAGCTTATTTCTCACAGAACATTAAAGAGCCATTATAGTTAGATTCACTCACTCATTCATTTATTTCATTAGCATTTGCTGTGCTTTTACAGTGCCTAATTCTGCTAAGCTCCGTGGGGTAAGGGGACCTAATAGAAAAGCCATAATTAAATCATAATGGCTTCTCTCTCACAAGGAATCTGGGTGAAGTTTTAGACCTACGACTTCAAAATGAGAGTCTCAGTAACTGTTTCATTGTATGTATTCTTTTCTGATATATTAGTCTTTTGTTTCCCTTTTTGAATTAAAAAGGTTTGGTTTGCCACATCACAGGCCAAGTGTCAACGTCGGACAGCAAGCTTAAAGAAAACCGAAATCTCAATGTATCTTATGTATGCAGTGAGGAAAGGCAGGAATGGTATTTATACGTTGTGTTAGGCTTTCCTTTTTTTTTCGTTTTTTCTTTTTTTTTTTACAAATACAAAAGCCCACACAGAATAGTCCAAAGGAACCAAAGTTTCCACAGTTTCACAAAAAAAAGCATCCATTGCTTTCCCTCTCATAATTTAATCAGTTTGGTTGGCCGCATCACGGGCAAAGTACCAACTTGGATTCTCACAGGAGGTTAAAAACATCAAGTCTCAAAGACGCCTGTGTGAGCTCTGAGGGAACACAGAAATGGCATTTATACCTTGTATTAGGTATTTGTTTCCATAAGTTTGATGCCTACCACATAAACCACCCCCCCACACACACAGGAATAGGCCAAAGCTGCCAAGCTTTCCACACGTTCAGAAAATATACCTGTGGAGTCTGCTTCTCAAGGTGGAGTTCAGAGCCTCTTTGCAGTAAGTAACATGGTGCCTGGAAGTGAGACAACCCACAGGATGCCTTTGGCACATCGAAAGTGGAGGTGAATTTTACAGTCCGGTGTGCACATGCACACATTAGCTATAAGGGACTTTTGTAACTGGCCAGCCAAAATAACGAACCTTAAAAATAAATATGCCAACCCACCCACAGCGTGATGTGTGGTGTTTTTTTCTTCCTACATTCCATATTTTCTGGGTTTTTTTTTTCCTTTTAACAATGGGGAAAAATTGGGGCGCCTGGGTGGCTCAGTGTGTTAAGCATCTGCCTTCGGCTCAGGTCATGATCCCAGGATCCTGGGATTGAGCCCCGCATCGCGCTGCCTGCTCAGCGGGGAGTCTGCTTCTCCCTCTCCCCTGCTCGTGCTCTCTCTCTCACTCTCTCTCAAATAAATAAAAATAAAATCTAAAAAAAAAAAAAACCTACTTAATGACAACTTTATCAGGCTCTTCTAGTCCATCCTAGTGAAATGTACCTACTTAACACTGCTTGGATTATCCTTTAGTTTATCCTTTAAATTAGCTTCACTAATTCCAATAGCCAAAATATGATCTATATATTTGGAAAGCCACTATTTTCCAACTGTTTTATCACTCTATCTTAAGAGTCAGACCTGTCAAATGTTTTAATGTAGAATATTCTTTCTGCAGTAACCCAAGGCATATATATATATAGACATGTACCCACAAGTCACTATGAATCCTAACTTGTATATTTTGCCCACTTTATAACTGTGATTGACTCCCCCTTACCATCAGATTCAAGGACTGTGTGGATGTGTGGCAGAGAAGAGTTAGGTTCTACTGATGGATGTGTAAAGAAACCCAAAACCAAGGAAAAAATTCCCCCATCCCAGCTCAAATTTTAATTATTCATTTCCTTATTACCCCAAAGGTACAGGTTATATCTCTCCCCATCCAACTTCTAATGTAAACTAGACAATCAAAATAGTCCCAGTTCCAGGAGAATGCTAAGCATATGCTATTTCATAATATGGAATGAAATCCTTTCACAGGGAATAGTTTTTATAAACAAAGACTTTTTAAAAAATGAAACCAAGTCAAGACCTCAGTTTTACATTTCCTATCTAAAACTGCACCTTCAAGTAGAAATGTGGGGCTTAGCTTTCTCAGTGGAAAACAACCATCCCGGCAGATTTTCTACAAGTTAAACATGATGATTTTAGAGGAAAACAACATTTATTGTGTGAAAGATTTATATTTAATCAAAGGCACAAACCAAAACTAAGATTATTATAGTTGACCATGATATTGACAATTAAGTCACATCAACCTGATAAACAAATAGCAGCTAACACTAATGAAGATGAATTGCTTTCAATTCCTAAGGAAAATACAGTAATTCTGACACCATTAAGTAATAATCAGAACCTTTCAAATATAAATTTGAGAGCAAAACAGAGACTAATGAAAATATCTTAACTTGATGCAAATTACACAATAATTTTAACTCGTCTGGGAAGAGGCCAGTTCGGAAGGGTCAATTTTCTATCACACTACATCATGAGTCAGCAAATTCACAGCAGTCACTTTGTAACACTACATCAAAATAGCAGATTCACAATGCGATTTTGAAAAATAAAAGTCAAGAGGAACACGGTATTGCATCATTTACAATTTACTAGCTTTTCCAGTGTTTCACAGTGATACAGGGGTTTCAATGATCTAACATCAATGGGACAAAAGGTGGACTTAAACTGAACACGTCTTGATTGAATCAGACTACTGCTGTAAGTTTTTGGTCTATTGTAAGCGGTAGTAGGAAGTCTTCCAACCAGGCAATTTCATAGCTCACAGGGGGGGAATGTAAATGTCCTAAAAGTAAAGAAAAAAAAAAGTTAATCGACTTGTAACCCAAATTTCCATATCTGTTTGCGCTCGCACACATGAGCATCTACTCCTGTGTTCCCCTTCAGCGGCCCAATTAAACCGTGAAGGGCACCCTAGGGGATTAATTCAGCCAGCCATAGTTCTCATGGTTCGCCATTCAAATACTGAAGTTATTGAAACACTTATCTTCCCCAAATCTGTCTCCAGGTTAAGCTAGATGTGTTTACCGCTCTACGCAGAGTTCACCAGAGGAGTGTGGTAAATGAAGACTAGGGAAAATGCCAGTATTGGGAGCGGAGTGTACGTGCCAGGGAACCTCACTTGTAAGGTCACTATAGGGATTCTCTATTTCTCTTCAGTCTAGGTCCAAGTTTGTTAGAAAGGGGACCACTTAGGATCTTCAGATTGATGTGTAGGTAAACCCCCAAAGGCTCTTTTTTTTTTTTTACAAATACAAAAACCCACACAGAATAGTCCAAAGGAACCAAAGTTTCCACAGTTTCACAAAAAAAGCATCCATTGCTTTTGCCTCTCATAATTTAATCAGTTTGGTTGGCCACATCACTGGCAAAGTACCAACTTGGATTCTCGCAGGAGGTTAAAACGCCTTGCATTGAGAGAACTGATCTAGCTGTGCAGGGCTAACACAGTACCAACCGGATCTGAATGCACCACTCGACAAGACCTTGGCAAACTCAGTCCATCCATCACATGAACAGGCTGAAGTAAACACCGATAGAGAGCTGAGGATTAAAATGAACATACCTTAAACTTGAAGAGGAATAGGCCCGTGGTTTGCTGTTTACACTATCTCATACTGGTTATTTGTTATGGCGCGAGAGAGACAATAGGCTAGAAAGATTCCAATCAGCTAGAAATAAAATACAAACAAAAATTAAACACACACACACAAGAGCTTAAAGTACTCAGGATACAGGTTTATTTTCCTTTCACTTCGAATTCACTAATAATTTCCTTAAGTTTCTCTCGGCAGTTATGTTTGATACTCTGCAGCTCCTGGATCACATTCAAAGAATATAAGGGAAGTTTTACTGCTACTATGACCTGGAGTTTCACAACTGTCACTGACAAAATTATCACTCAAGAAAAATTCTAAATAAGTTTGGGGGAAACTTATCAGTTAACCTGTCAGCTATCAGAACAAAAAGGACATGGCTGAGGCTATGCATCTCATCACGTACAATCTCCATCTATGAAGGCAGAGATTTTCTTGGAAGATCTAGGGCAGTGCTGCAACGATAGATTTGTTCTGTACTCCCCAGGCTGTCCAGTAAGCTAGCCACTAGCCACATGTGGCTTTTGAGCACTTCAAATGCGGCTTGAATTTTTTATTTTATTTAATAATTAGAACCTTCCGAAGGTGCTAGTGGCCATTTTATTAGACAGTGCAGACTCAGACATAGCTAGGCCTGCTGCTTGAGAAATATGTTAAGATTAGACTTCCAAAACCAATTGCATAGGTCAAAATGAAGTATGTCCCTTCTTTTAGTTTTATCGCCACGATGTTCAATATAGGACAAACCCCCATTACCTAAGAAAAATTGTTTAGAGCCACAGTTCAAACTTTTCATGCTACGGTGAGAGGCAGCACAACTCAGAAAATAGAATTTGACCCACAACGTAGCACGTCCCCAACATGACAGGCACATATTGAATGTGGGGTCGTATGATCTAAGTTTTTGTAGGTCAGAACTTATATGGATCTCACCAGGCAGCTGCAGCCCAGGAAAGAAAAAATCTGGACAATGTTTTAGAATCTTGACTGCACAGTAAAACAAGGTTCCCATCTATGTCGTGTTTTAATTAATGAACTAGGATGCTGGAGAGTTGCCGTACCCTAGGGCACCAGGTTTGTACTACTACGAGTTAATTCTAAGCTTTGCTTTCTGTAGTTTCAAGGCATGCTAGGCCATGGTAGAAAAAGAGCAGGTAAACAGGGAATAAAAATCTGGAGAAGTCTAATTGTGAAAATAGTGTGGGAAAACATAAGATCCAAGACATCAAAGAATTGGAATGAAAATAGCAGAACATCCCCTCCCAAATAAAACAAAGCTAAATAGACCCAACACAAATGACTGACTACATATGTTTCACATACAAAATAAAAACAGCCGGGAATTTGTGAAAATGTGACTTCTCTGGAAATGCCCTGAGGCCTTCAGATTGGAAATTTTCTAGCTTACCACTGAACAAGAGCGAGGAGACATTCCTAACAACAAGGACTTACCTGGAAGCAAGCAACTCCAAAAGAAATTCCGGCAACCACTCCCATTTCTGACTCTATAATGGTCATCACCTTTATAAAACAACCCTAATGGGAGAGGAAAAACAATTTTAAGTACAACACAAGCAATAATGAACACTTGGATCATCCATCTCTGCCAAAAGATGAGCTTTAGCTACCTCAGCCTCTGATTATCATTTTATTCAAATTCACTCTTTCATATAACATATCCTATCTCCTTTCAAGCACAATGCTCTAACAGGAGTTTGAAGAACAGAAGTTCCACCTTTTAGATTATGCATTTAAAAGTGTTATTTGCTAGTTGTGTGAACTCAAGTCACAAACTGTCTGAGCTTCAGTTTCTTCATGTATTCAATGAGAATAATACCTGCCCCACCTATTTTAGATTATAGCTATTGTGAGGAAAAATTAAAAACTGAGTCAACTCTGTATTCAGTTAATATTTTCAAATAAAAAAAAATTTAAAGGCTCCTTACTTCATTGTTTACTTTATCTGCATCTCTCTGTGGAGAACAATTTTCAAGTTTGCAGCAACTCTTGGGAAATCCTTTTTCTGAGTAATAATTAGTATCCTTCCAATCTCTATAGTCGGTGACACCACAACAATGCAACTGAAAAAAAATCCAACAAAACCATTTATAGTTCACATCACAGCTCTGTAGTCAAACACTTAGCCTATTATTTTAGATTGCAATTTGTGTTCAAAACACAAGCATTATACTCAACGATCTCTATCCTAATATTTTAATGTGGCTGTTCTCAATTGGCCTTATAATTCAAGAGATAAGCACTCTTTTTCGAAATACCAAGTGTAAGCCTTTTGGACTGGCCTTATTTTCCTGCTACAGCTGGTACTAACAGTACTTGGTCCGTGATGTATGTGAGGAGTGAAGAGGTGTACATGTGAGGAGAATGATTAGGAAAAAATGGAGATATGTCACTTAGTATCATCTCACACTTCTTTTCCAGGGACATATCTTTCCAGGGACATATTTTCTCCTGATCTAAGATTGTAATGAGAATATCATACAAGTGGACAACATCTAGTAGCCAGAGGCCTATCCTCTTCTCTAAAGGGATAAGGATGTGTTCCCCTCTTGAATAGCCACCACCCCATGACCATTTACCTTATTTTGAATCTTGTCTACTGCATCGCTTCTATAATCTCCCGTAGAGTTATACTGCTTTAAAATTTTCTCATAATTATTCTTAAAACTGTTCTTAATCTACAGCAGAGAAACACAATGCTAGTAAATAAAGATTCTAGAAAGTTCTTTGGGTTTCTAGGCCAAATAAAAAAATCCCCCACATCTGACTAAAGGTCATTATCTTTGACAGCAGCAACACGTATGGTAATTAACTTCTATGGTCCAATCCCGTCTTCTCTGAGCTACAGTTTAGCTGAGAGGATTACTAAGCAAAACATTACAATAAAAGATGATAACTGCTCAAGTTCAAAGTGCTATGGGACCTTTCATTCAAGTGGCAGCTCTGTACTGCTGTATCCCTCCCCCAATTTTTCTCTATTTTAAATTAAGTACAAATTTGATGCCTACAGGATTCTTAAGCTACAAAACCTTACTTTGGGAGACTGCACTACCACTTTGTAAAACACTCTCATTGAGGAGCCTTCACTACTCACTGAAGGATTTCCCAACTCCAGTTTTAACAGTGGAACCCCAATTTCTCTTTCAATAAAGTTTTGATGATTTGCCTTAAGTATATCCAATTTTTTTAAACACGTGGCATAAGGAAGAACACAGTTGTGTACTATCCCTTTGTACGTGGGCATCTCTGAACTGGGGTGGGGAGAAGGGGGAAGTTTCTGGAACTCAGAGAGACACTTTCTTCCCTCCTCCAGAAGGTTTCCTTCCTATGGCGGGAGTAAAGCAGTTAAATAAGTTGTTGTCCCTCGGACAGATATGCCGTGGACTTCGGGTTATACCAAAAACAAAACAAAACCCAACAAAAAGAAACAGATGAAATTTAAGAATTTTGTTAGGATGCCTTCCCTAGCTACCCCCTGGTTTTGCCCTGGCTACCTGGGCTACCTAGTGATCCAGGGTGGATTTATTAAGGCCTGTCCTTATGTGCAGATCTCCTTCCTGCCCCTTGTCTCCCATATCCCAGCCACCGCGCTCTGGCCACAGACTGCTAAATCAATTCTCACACCTATTAAACAATAGGTTTGTGGTTTGAAGGTGCTGTAGTATACAGCCTATAACGTTCTGTTCTCTGGCTTCCCACATAGATCACTGGTGTTATCCTTCTTGCCGTTGGTATTTGGGGCAAGGTGAGCCTGGAGAATTATTTTTCCCTTTTGAATGAGAAGGCCACCAATGTCCCCTTCGTGCTCATTGGTACTGGTACTGTCATTATTCTGTTGGGCACCTTTGGCTGTTTTGCTACCTGCCGAGCTTCTGCATGGATGTTAAAACTGGTGAGTCCTTGTTTTCCTTAGAATTGATTCTTGATTTTAGAAAAGTCTTATATGTTGTTGGCTTTGTTTCTTGAAACCGGCCACGGCCCTTTATGATTTCTCCTCTTTCTTCCCAGAGTAACATTTCTGCTACCAATTCCCACTTTTGTTGTTTTTCCTGTCCTTTTTAATAAAAGCATGCTGAACTGATTGAGCAGACTATTTTTTTTCTTTGACTCCCCTTGCAGCTGCATTGTATCTTATTTATGCTGACTTGGACTTTCTTTCTATCCCACAGTATGCAATGTTTCTGACTCTCATTTTTTTGGTTGAACTGGTCGCTGCCATCGTAGGATTTGTTTTCAGACATGAGGTAAGCCTGAATTTGGGAACCTTAATATGTTAAAATTTATCCTCCCAGAGATAAAAACAGTTAATAGTTCAGAAATCACTTCTAAAACTTTCTTTTCAAACTGTAGCTGACAATAGTGGCTTTCTTGTAAAAATTCTAGCCCACGTTTAATATAAAAAAAAATTTAGAAAATTGTAGACTGTTACCAGAAGAAAATTACTGGTACCCATAATTACATGTATTTCCAGTTCTTTTTCTGTGTACAAGTACCTGTTAAAGTGGAGATAGTACAATTTATAACCTTACTGATAGAGGAAAATATTAAGGCACATAGGGAAGGCATCCTAACAAAATTCTTAAATTTCATCTGTTTCTTTTTGTTGGGTTTTGTTTTGTTTTTGGTATAACCCGAAGTCCACGGCATATCTGTCCGAGGGACAACAACTTATTTAACTGCTTTACTCCCGCCATAGGAAGGAAACCTTCTGGAGGAGGGAAGAAAGTGTCTCTCTGAGTTCCAGAAACTTCCCCCTTCTCCCCACCCCAGTTCAGAGATGCCCACGTACAAAGGGATAGTACACAAAAGCAAGCCGAGGAGAGGTGGGCGGGAGTGCAGCCATTACCATACTTACCTGCGAAATACTCCCCTCTAACGAAGCGGTGAAAAGAAAGAGACTATTATGCGGGTGAGCCCTCAGAGGGGCGGGGCAAGCCTCGCCTCTCTCAACGGTCCGGGGACACCCTCTGAGAGGTCTGGGGTGTTCACTCCCCTCCTCGTCCCCCGCATCAGATTCGAACCCGAAGCCCGTCTGTGTCCCAGCACAGCCGATTGGCTGCCATCCTCCGGGACCCTGACCCCGGCGCCGGCAGGATGCCCGGGCTCGAGCCCCAGCAACTCTTCGCCCGCGTCGGGGTCCCAGCAGCTACAGCGGCCCAAACCCCACCCGCGCCTCCCTCCCCCCCCCCCCCGCCCCGCGCCGCCCCCGCCCCGGGCCCCCCCCCCCCCCCACCCAAGCCCAGGATCTCCTCCCGTCCCCGGGCTCCTCCATCTCTCACCCAGAAGATGAAAGTGTAGATCAAGAGGACGCTCTTGAAGCAAGTAATGACTGGTTTGGTCTGTAGTCTCCGAGACGGGGACGCCATGACTAGCCCCAGACCCTGCCCCGCCGCACCGGGCACTCGGAGCGGAGCTAGAGAGACGCAGCGTCCCCGAGTCTCCCCGGAAACTGCCGGAAACTTACGAGCGTCTACAACTGAGAAAAGCCGGAAACACTGTACAATTTTCTAGAGGGTAAAGTCTTGGGAGGCTACCCGGAAAGTGACGACAATTTCCGAGCGCCCCCTGCTGCAGGTTACCGAGAAATGTATGCAACGGTTCTAGTGCCGGAAATTCCTTCGATCTTCAAGTGGAGCTTTCTTCATTTTTTCTCTGAATCTTTCCCCCCCCCCCCCCCATCTCTCCCCCGCCCTTATAACTTGATCATATTATTCTATCACCAGGAGCGCCAGCAGCGCTTTGAGATTCGGCCTCGCCGGCCCCTGGTGCCCTAGAGGGAAAGAAAGGAATGAAAAGAGGTTAAAAGTGACCGAAGCATATTTCATTACATGGCTCAATACTCCCAAGAAACATAGTTCCAAAGAGAAACAAAGCGGATTGCAAAGCGACACGTACAGTCATAGGGTTTTAGACACAAACTGAGGAAAAGTGAAATCTACCTGAGTGGGGGAATTAGGCTGATTTCTTTTTCTAGGAGGCTGAAACCTAAAGTCACATGGCTAAGAGCAAAGCCAAAACTAGAGATCGCTGTGCGTTTCAGTCCCCTCCTGTGTTAAACACAAGCTACAGACGGTATTGGGTTGTAGAGTGTCTGTCCATTCCCCTAAAATTCTCCCAATTGCTTAGATCTTCCTAGAACTTAAGACTATGTGTTCCTAAGGAGTTAAACTGCTTACGGAATGGGAATGAATCACGAAAAAGTTTTCTGTCTCATATGTCCTGAGGCAGCCCTGAGTCAATCTTAGGGGTAAAATGGAATAAAAAAACAGCCCTCTTCACGATCTCCTAAACCCTGGTGATAAAAGCTGAGGCGCTTTTTGTTTGGGGCTTAGCTTTAGGAAGGGTTAAATGTAAAGACAAGTCTTCGGATAGTTGAAAGGCCTAGAAAATTTGGATTATGCAAATCAGCAGAGCCTTAAAGGGTAAAGTTCTCTGATACATCTGTGAAATGGGATGTCTCTAATTCATAAAGGACTCATGTGCATGTGCTTTAGCTCAGCCCACAAGAATAAGTGCAGTTATTTGAGCTAGTAGATACAAAAACGGATTTATTCTATGCCTATTGTTACAGGGGAGAAAAGAAATGAGCCTAGGCATTATAGATACTTACTGTTTCCTGCTTTCTGACACCTTTTAGGCTTCAAGAGTGACCAAATGAGCCATTCAAATTGCCCTCAATTTGAATAGGTCATCTACTTTTCATAGGAACCTCAGAATAGGGAGGTCTTTTTTATCTAGTGAGGTTCAAAACACATTTACAAAATGAATTAAATACAAATGAATTAATGAAGTGCTATAGGCATCCTGGTCTCCCATTTTACTCAGGGACATTAGTTTGATCCCTAGCATTCATCTTTCTAGAAATTCAGGACAGGTGTAATCAGGGAGAAAAGAAAGATCACTACTTGGGTGTCAAGACTCAATTTTCTGTTTAGTGGAAAATATGCACTTTGTGAAACTTTCTCTGGACCTTCTTGCTCCCTCCATAAAAATATATCCCTATGAGAAAAAAATAGTTACTTCTAGGAAATCTGAGTTGATACCTAACACCAACAATACTATAGATCTGTATGCTCCTTTATCCATGTGGTGAGACACAGAGCATTGAAATGTCAACCAAAAACAAGGTAACTCTTAAGAAAAGTTTATCATTGGACATTCCTAGTGAATTGTGGATGGCATTTGAAGTATGGAAGTGTATTTTTTTCCTATTAAATCATGTATGTAGGTAGCTCCATGTTTCCATGTTCTGTATCATGAACGGGTTGGTCAATATTACAGCACAGAATATGTATTAAGGTCTGGTTTCTCAACTAAAGTGTAAGCTCTTCGAGGGCAAAGACTGAGTGTCCAGTGAGTGTGTGCTGTTTCTTGAAGACAGTATCCATTCCCTGTGCAGTCCATCGCATCATAATTGACACAAGCTCGACATCACAGTGGGTGTTTCCTGTATTGCTCTTGTATTGTATAGTGAAAGGAGAGGTGATACCCAAACTTTTTTTGCTTGAAACCTTGCTTTAAGCATATACCACAGAACCAGAAAAACAAGAACGTTCCATTGACTTGGTCACACAGAGCTTCCCTGTACCTCGAATATTGACCTGGGACCAGTTCCTCTAGCAAAATGCCAGATGTCCGAGGTCCAAGAGAGCAACTACTGGAGAATGAATATTGCACCAACAGTCTTTATACTAAAATTTTACCCTAAAACTTTAACATATAAACACATGGAGAGAGTGGGTAAATGATACAACTATACACCTACAAACACTGAAGAAACGTTATCAGGAAATATAGCAGATGTCAATTTTGAAAGTAACACACGTGCCATAACCACAAGAAATGAGGTTGAGGGAGGCTCCGAGTAAATGCAAAGCTTTCTCCCTAGGCTAAATAACTCTCTCTGAGGGGTTCTCATATTAAAATAAGTATCAAGGGAAGTCTTGCTAATTCTTCGTCATCTTAAATGGAACCTTCCTCTGAAGCTTAGGTTTCTACCATGGTCTGGAAGGGATTTTCGTTGTGAGCCCAAGAGCGAAGAAATATTTTTTTAGCTGAAGAGAAAACAAAATAGTCAAAGCAAAAGCCACATCTTATTTCCAAGAATGTGTTGATTTTCCGCCTCTCCCTTCCTCTGCCGCTACAACGCTGCTTTGTTTGGAGTGCCAAATTAAGCCAAAGGCTGACATGGAATTTAATATTCCTATGGCCACAACACCTTGCACCACCACCTCCCACCCTCCCATACCACTAAACCCAGAAGAGTTCACTTTACTTCAAACTTAGGCCTGGGTCTGGGCCCAAACCCAGACCAAAGGGGTATCCAATCCCATCTAAGGCAATGTAAATAGTAATTCTCTAGGTCATAAGATACATTTATTCTTTAAAGTATTAATATTGTAATACTTAATTGTGTTATTGATATTACATTCTATTATATATAGTAACTGTAGTACTGAGCATGGACTATGTAGCAACCACCGTTGCTAAGCACTTGGCAGGTGGTACCTCACGCATACATCACAGAAGCCCTCATTGTGAGGTCAAGACTGCTGCTGCCCTCATGTTACAGTTGAGGAAACAGGTTCAAAGAGGCTAACTTGCCTCTGATGAAACTTTGCCAACTTCTGTCTCTCTCACCAGAAACAGGGCCCACTCTGTGATGAGACATGGCTGCCACTGAATAAACAGCTGTCTTGGCTGGGAATTATCCAAGCAAAGACCGCTGTATTCAGACATTTAGCCACAAACAAGGGCTTTTAAAAGTCCCTGAAGCACAAGAACCTCAATGATCTCCCCAGTTCTGCCTTGTACTTGGGGTTTTTGTTGAGTTTTACTTCTGCCTTCATTCCAGTAGCCCAATCACCTAAGGAGTAACCTGCCCATCCCAGAGTGGCAAGGCAGAGAGTTCAATACTTTTTCTGGTCTAATCTATTTTCCTCCTTCTCTCTGACCACAAAGACACATGTTTGATGCTGAAAATTTAGGAAAAAGGAAAATGTTTTCCTTAAGTATTGTTGCTGTTTGTTTTACATTCGATATTTAGTAGGGATTTGTGTCCCTTCCCTATTAATCTCCTGTAACCTTCAAGATTAAGTTTAAATGTTGTTCTTTGGCATTTAAACTATGCCTCCCCCAGCAAATATGGTATCAGCTTATTTCCTACTGCTTTTCCAACATGAATTTTCTGTTCCACAGTAAACCAGTATGACTATCTCCCAATAAACAAGATCTGTCCCCTGCTCCCGTCCCAGTCTCCAACCTCACACAGAATTCCTACTCCCTACTTAAAGCACATCCCAACCCCAACTCAACTGAGAGCATTCCTCTGCCCCCTTTATCCATACCCCCCACCCCTGCCCACACACACCTCTTTGTCTAGTATCAGACCTCATCGTCTGACCGCTCACACTAACTCAGACCCTGAGTTAATTAGAAGGGTACCTGCTTTCTTTTCTCCTTACCTGCCTTACTCCTGCTATCTACATGTTCAGAAACTACTGAAGAGCCAGTCTGGCAGGCTCCTGCACCCCCTTTTATCCTCTCCCCAATGCCCTAGGACACAATGCTCAATTGATGAGCTCGTTTAGAGCTCAGCCAATCCCTGTTGACCTCCTTGGTCATAGCTGGTCTCTGAAACTAACCACTAAGTAGTGACTTGAGGTTTGATTAATTAAATTAAATAAACTGAATGTCTAAGCCATCCCAGTATCACACTGTCATAAACAAAACAATTAAGTTGAGCTGCTGGATAATGTCTTGGAACATTACTACTCCCTGTCTTAGGAACCAGTGAAAAAACTTCAACTATTTCACTCAGAATACATCTTATCTCTTATTCACATAATGTCCTTCCCATTTTCATTTTCTAATACGTTTTCTAGAATCCCTTCAATTACCTTTGGCTAAGTGCCCATCATAAAATTTAAAAGCACGTCCTGCTTATTTTCTTAAAGTCTCATATTTCAATTACAGCCATCAGATAAACATCATTTAAACAGATAATTTGAATATCACCATTTAAATAGATAATTCGTATGTACAGTTTTAAAACTTAGTTTCCCGAATAGGAATATCTTTATTCCTGTTGTCTCTTGTGTATTTTCATTACTCTTTTTCTGAAATTCTCTTCTGCGTCTAGTTTTCATTCACTTTTTTCCATCTACTCCTTTCAGATTCTCCATGAATCCTTTCCTCCTTTGCCAGCCCTGATCTTTCCTTCCTCAAAAAAGTTCATAATACACAGTTTGGGACACATAGAAATGAGAAGCTCTTAAATGATTATTAAAATTCACAATTTCATATCAATTTGCCTTATCCTAGAAAAGTTGTTTCTAGTTTAGTTTTGTTAAGCTTTGTTGAGATCTTATCTAGGCAAGTCAGTTTCCATATCTAATATTTCGTAAAACAATACCTTATTGGCCTGCTAAAGAACTTCATACTCAGTGTCTTGACATTGAAAATGGTACTGAACTTTAAGAACTTTACATGTGTATATATAGCTGTTGTCGGTCTCTTTGTGTGTCTTTGTCTTATCTTCCCAACTAAATCATACAGAGAGGTGGTTTATTTAACTTTATACCCCACAGTGTTTAATACAGTGTTATCCACAGATATTAGAGGCTGAAGAAATCTGTTTTTTTTTTAATTAGTCCCCCTTGTTTAGCGTAAGCTCTTCCTATTGCCCATCTCTGTGCTTCAGTGATGCTGTCCCTCTTATTTACCCCCTTACTTTATTCTCCCTATGATTTCCATATTTTCCCCCTTCCCTTTCTTCTTTAACTTCTCTCTGCCACCCCTCTGTCCTGCTCCTTCCAGCTCTGAGTGGGACAGGAGGCCTTATGCCGCATCTTCAGCCTAGCATGTGCTGGGCTCTGTGTTGGGTGCTGGGGAAATGATGAAGACTAAGGCAAGTCTGTTGCCCCCTAGGCTCTCACAGTCTAGGCAGGGACAGAGATGAGTCTGAGATGAACAAACTAGTAGAGTAGGGGACAGAAATTGTCATGGGTGTACAATGACATTAAGTGTGATAAACCTATAATTGAGACATGTACAAAGTGATGTGATAGAAAAGGCAGGCAAACCAGATCTGCCTGGGGTGGGCTGAGGGGAACTTCTCAGCAGCAAAGATGGATATAGTTTCAACAGTCCAGGAAAGGATGGAAAGGAATACAGGGTAGAGTAAATATATCTGTGCAAAGCCACCAAAGTATGAAAGGAAGAGCAAGAAGTTCAGTATGTCTAGAACAAGTCATGAGGTGAATGTGTAAAACTAGGCTGAGGATATAGATGGGGCCTGCTTGTGAAGGACATAGTATGCCCTGCTGAGAGCTCGGACTATACTCTTTGCCAAGAGGGGGGGCGGTAAAGAGATTTTTTTGTTTTGTTTTGTTTTGTTTTTTAAGAAAACAACTCTAGAAGAATATATTCCTCTGTGCTCTCTCTCACCTCTCTCTCCATCTCTCTCTCTCTCTTTCTCTCTCTCTCACACACACACTGAATAGATTTACTGTTTCTTAACACGTGAGTTTAGGGTAAACTTCTATATCTGATTTCAAAGGCCTCACAATCTGACCGTACTCGATTTATTCAATTTTGTTCCCTATCACTCTCTTGATCCCTCTAACCAGTTAGCCCATCCCCCTCTGACCTAACAATGAGCTCTTGTTTATGTCATTTCCCTTGCCTGAGAACAGACCATGGCCTACCTCTTCCCACAGAGCATTCACAGGGTCCTCACAGTTTATACCATAGCTTTTAGAATTTTATGTGGTCTTGTACTGTTTTTGAATTGTTTGTGTCCCTCTTATCTCCCCTCCTAAACATAAACCCTCTGGGACCTGGAGAGTAAGCTTCATTAGATGAAGGATCACACAGTTCATAATCACCTCTGTTCCCCCTTCTTAGCTTATAGTAGATGCCCAGTGAAGGCTAATTCCCTAAACGCACATGGTTGTAATCAAGAACATTTTTGTTGAGGGACGCCTGGGTACCTCAGTCAGTTAGGCAGCTGCTTTTGGCTCAGGTCATGATCTCAGGCTCCTGGGATCGAGCCCTGCATCGGGCTCCCTGCTCAGCGGAGAGCCTGCTTCTCTCTCTCCCTCTGCTCCCCCTTCTTGTGTGCTCACTCTCTCTCTGTCAAATAAATAAAATCTTTTTTAAAAAAGAACATTTTTGTTGAATGTCTGCCTCCTCCATTCCATGGAGGTAAGGATTTTTGTCTCTTTTGCTCACTGATGTTTCTCAAGTACCTAAAACAGTGTGTGGCATGTAATAGACACTCAATAAATATTGTTGAATTAATTATATGTTACGATGTCAGGGATTTTTGTCTTTGTCCACCCTCCTTAACACAGTAGAAGCATGATAAATTTATTGAATAAATGAGGCCAAGATCATGTCTTCAGTCTTATACCACTATCACACTGTTAGACACTCAATACATATTTCTGATTGGTGGATTGGACATGAAACAGGCTTGCTACTGAACTTTATATTAACAGAAGCACAATTCTTCCCTTTGTAACTGAGAAGGTGTTGCCAGTTTGCTTGCACACACAGGGAAGAAACCCTTTCTACAGCATCTAAACAAAATTCTTCCACAATCACTGGTTTTTCAAGGACAAAAATGTCCACTCTGAGAGGCAGGAGAGTGTAGGAAGCTGGTCCGTGCTATGTTAGAATACTCTCATTACCAGATACGAAAAAGAAAGCTTGCTTAGCGAAGCATAGCCTTCTGTCAGAGGTCACTGGGAAACAGCTTAGCCGCAGCTATAACCTTGCCATGCACAGATCATGGAGGTTTGCTTAAACAGCCTCCCACTAAAGCCTCTCTAAGCGTGCTTTCCCTCCACTCTTATTACAGGAAATCAGTCTTGATCCTTCAGGCAAAAAGTGCATGGTAATTTTTGTAAACAACGTAATCTTATCAGAAACTGAAGTCCATGGACGTTAGATCATCAGTGAGAGAGTTTCAAAGTGTGTTTGACCCTGTGTATATGGATGGCAAGGCGACTCTGAGTTGGGAAGTACGAAGGAATTACTGGGGAAATCTCTAGGGAATTTCAAAGTCGGCTACAATCTTCCCCCTTCGTTGGATTTTTCGAAATTCCTTTTCATTCGATCCTGATGTCATGCTGAGTCATAAGAAGAAGGGTTCTTCAGTACACCACATCTCTGGAGGCCCTTCAGGCAGCCTCTGTTAGTCATTACTATACTCATGGGATCTGGACCAGTGCCATTCATACTTTCCCCCTGTTCCGTGGCAGACGGACTATGGGCCTCTAATCCTTGCGTTCTTTCTCCCCTACTTCTCTAAAACCCTTCTCTGAGGGAGGAATAGCTTATAGCTTTGGGGATAATATAGCTTTAAGGAAACTTTTGGCAAATGCGGATGTCCTCACATCTGGGCAGTGTTAACAGAATCCTGGAGGCCCGGAGAGACCAAGAGCCACTCGTTCTAGGAATGTTAAAATAGAAGTTTTTCCGACTGATGAGAGGAGCAGAGAGGAAGGAGAAAAAGGAGAAAGAAAGAGAGCACCAAAAAAAGTATAAAACAGGTAAGATCTGCTGCTTAACCCTCCACATTCTATTACCTCATTTCGCAGCCTTGGCGGGTAATGAGACCCAGGACATGAGCAACATGGCTGGTGGGGGAGGGGGTGTTCTTTTATGAAACTGGATCATATGCTGCTTGCCGTTTGAGCCATGACCTGGCTGTAGACACAGGTCCCCACTACCTTCCCGGCCTGCAGCAGAGGGTGGCTGACTCTGCGAGTCAGGTTTTCAGCCTCAGATCCGGGGAGGACGAGGGCAGGGAAGCAGTGACAGATGTAGAGGAGTGGGTCTGAATAGGACAGCCCCAGCTCCACAGCCAAGGAATTGCACTGAGGATGCATACGTGAGAGGGGGTGGTGATTAGTTTACCTAGCTGTTCGTTTTCCTGGATCTCTCTTTAACCTCCCTTTTCTTGTCCTTTTCTTCCCTCTTTCTACTTTTATCTCTTGCCTCAACCCTGGCAGATTGTCTTTTCTTTCTAGCTTGCCTCCCTCGCTTGTTCTCAGTTTTTTGTTTTTTTGTTTTTTGTTTTTTCCTATCCTGCTTCCTTGCCAGTCTCTGGACAAAATCTGAAGCCAAGTAGCAATGAATTGGAAAATGAACTTTTGCCATTCTTCGACTTCTCATGTCCCTTAAGGACTCTGGCCAGAATCTGCTATCTTTTTGTTTCTCCATTTCTGGGAGTGACTCCTCCCCTGAGCATGGCATTTCATTGAAAACATGTGGATGAATGGGTGCTTGCTGAAAAGTTCAGTGGCCAGTTTATACTAATGGGCAGCAAGTTTTAATACTGTCTTGTACAAAGTATTTGCTTACTGGGAACCACAAAACTCTCATCGCATTCGAGTGAGGACAGGACAGGAAGTGAGAGGGCAACTGAAGCTTGCTTACCCTCTCCTCACGTACCTCAATAGGTTCTTCCCAACCTCGTTGACTTCCTGCTGGCTCAGCAGAATAATACCAGAAGGTGAGGCTGGACTCGAAAGCCAGAAGCCACTACCAAACCACTAAGTCTCAAAACCCAAAGGCAAAAAAAGAGCCAGGCCATAGTTAAGGCCTGAGAGACTAGAGAAAGGAAACATCTAGTCTTGTCTAATACAAAGTTGAGTATAATAACATCTAATATATATTTATTGCTTCCCTATGTGCCAGGCAATAATCTCTTCTGTAAGATAGATACTATTATTATTCCCATTTTATAGGTGAGGAAACTGAGGCTCAGAGAAGTTAAGGAAGTTGTCCAAGACCCCATAGCTAATAAGGACAGAATTGGATGCATATACAGATCTGTCTAACTCCAGAGTTCAAGAGCTCTTAGTCCAGACATACTAATGCTTTCCCAGATTAGAGGTTAGGAAATACTAGTTAAATGGATGAAACCATCAACTGACAGCTTTTAGATCACAGGATTCTCTCTTGGCTCTATATGACTTTATGTTGGACCTCTCCTGATCTTGACTCTTCCATGTCCCTCTCTATAACTTGGACAGTGGAACATTTGCATCTGATCCCACCAGGGTTAATTGAGAATTGATTGTTTTATGTCATCCTCCTCCTGGGAGGAAAAGAAATCAGAAATAACAAATAGAGTCTTGTTACTCTTATAAAGCAGAAGATCCTTACAAAGGGGACAATATAACAAGCATTCAGTAATTTAAAAATTTCTCTTCTTCCTCACAGATCCTGCATTTCTGCTTCTTCTCACTTTTGGAAGTTCACTGATGGCTGATTTCTGAAAGATATTTTCCTTTTCCCTGGTACTTCTGGCCGCATATCTCTATTCTTATCTCCTTAACCTCCCCTCATCCCGACTCCTTTCAAGGATGGCCGGTCAACTAACCCAAAGAGGAGCTCTATCTCTCCTGCTCTTCCTCACCCCAGCAGTGACACCAACATGGTATGCAGGTAAGTTTTAGGACCTGTTGCTCATTATTTCCAAGGAAGGCAGGGCCTAGACTAAGTCTTGGAGAAGGGAGAGTTAGACTGCAACAAGAGACACTTAAATTAAATAAAGAAGAACTATTTGCAACAACAAAGATGGTTAATCATTGCAACTGGCTACTAAAGGAGGCTTTTGAGGCAAACCAGAGACATTTGAAAACAGGCTGCATCAGCACAAGCACGAGAGGGTTGGACAACATGGTTTTGAGGCCACTATCTCACCTGCTTCTGCACTCAGCTTCCTCTCTCTCTCCCTCCTTTCCCCCCACCCTTTCTCTCAGTCTCTCCCTCCCTCTCTCTCCCCTAGACCTTACTTATAGGACAAGATTTTTATAGTCCCTCTCTGCCAAAGATGTTAATGACAATACAGGTCACTTTCTCTTAAACAGGAACTCCCCAGTCTCTTCTGGCTTATTCCTTACTTCAGAAGGGATGGAGATTTCTGGATTCCTGAATGTGTCATCCTTTGCCCCTAGACACATAAGGAGCTGAAGAGAATAGACTCAGTGAGGAGAGGGAAAGGGGGAGGGAGAGAAATGAAGGAAGGTTAATGAGGTGGCAGACGGAGGTTTTTGTTGGGGCCCAACTGGCATTCCAAGTGCTAAGAATATTCTGTGGCCAGCAGTGTCTGCGCTCATGGGGGCTGGGAGGAGTAGGGGAAGGAGTCAGACCCAATCAATAGAGTTAGGAAAATATCCAGAGATGAGTAAATAACAAACTGCTTCCATCACAGCCACAGTCATTGCAGCTAAAATTTTCCACTTGCCCTTAGCTCCTGGTGGAGGCCTTTGGCAGTAGCTCTGTTTGTCTGGGACAGCTGCATCAAGCTTTCAACCAAATATGCAAACTTCTCCCCCTCTTTGGCTTAGCTTGGCTTTGTAGGGGGTGAGGCACAAGGGCTGACATTGAGATGAAGAAATTCAAGTCAAGCCCTTGGCGAGGTCTCTGAGAGCCCTACAAACCTATTCATTCTGCCTTCTGTTCTTAGGAGGCTACATGATGAGAGAAATTCAGAAATGTCTTGATAATCCTCCCCTACATCTCTAGCTCAGCTGTCTGAGCCTGCTCTACTCATTGCTTCATTCATTCATTCAACAGCTATTTATTGACCACTCTCTGTGCATCCAACATTGTTTATTCATGGCCATAGCTTTGTCCTCAAATAGGAATGACACAAGGGAAGCAGCCACATGTGGATTCAGGGCTAATCGGAGAAAAGATCCAGGAATCATCAGCAGGTGTTGGAAAGGGTTAAGAAAAGTAATAAAGTGAACAGTGGGTTATAAAGTGGGGATTGGCATATCTGTGCAGTTCGGGAAGTCAGACTGTATTTGTGATCGTAAGCCAAGCATTAGTGTGGATCTTAAAATAGTTTCCAACTATTAGTTACACTTCCAACCATACCTTTGGGAAGGACAGTGCTTAGAGGATCTGATGGTACAATTGAATTTGGAGGGACCACACAGTAATCTCTGACGGATACAAGGGAACAGAGGAATGCTGCCCAAACCTCTCTTCCCAGGTGCTGAAAGGGGGTAAGCAGATAGAACAATGTGGGGAGCATGCCCCTCTATTTTCTTATCTCTCATCTCAGTATCTTAACATCCGCAACATAAAATACCCCAAGACAGGCAAAGAGAGGGAAATGGAAAGGCTTAAAGTGGTAAGGTGACCTAAGCCCATTCCCATCCGATGCAAACTTGGCCCTGGTCCAGCTACCTCTGCACCCTGCTGTAGACTGTAATTATATGACTGAGTCTTCCCTTCAGCTTTCCCACATCTCCTGTAATTCTCGAATGCTAGAAGTTGCTTTGTGGCCTTTGAGCCTACACACAGAGGAAAAAAGCTGGATCGCAAGAAAGATTTTGCTTTTTTTTTTTTTCCTCTGCTGGATACTGTCCAAAGCTTTCTCTTACTGCCCTCTTGAGCAGAGTATCTGAGTCTGTTATCAGGGGATCAAACCACCCTGGGCTGGGCTGGAAGGCCCACTCTGCTCCTTCCTTGCTGGGAGAACTTGGGCTATTCTCTTAACTTCTCTGAGCCTGTGTCTTCATCTGTATATCAGAGAGCAGTAGGAGTGTCTACCTCCCTGAAATGCTAGGGTGACATGGTACGATAACATATGTAATGGGCTGAACACAGAGTACAAGTACGTGCTGAGTGCTGTTAGCAGTGGTGTTGCTGCTGCTATCAAGCCATAGGCTTTTTGACACTCCTGTTTGCTCTTCTGGTAAACAGAGGCTTCCTCCCTGTGGGGCATTCCTTCGCAAGCAAACTCTGGAACAAGAGCGCTGGGGCGAATCCTTTAGGGAATCACACACACATCTGGTCTCCTGTTTACAGAAGCTGTAAGGCTCTGAGGCTAATACTATACTGAAACAGCTGACAAGAATCCCATGCCCCCACAAAGAACCCTCCCATGTGGGAAGAGAGAGAGCAAGGGACAGGAGGCCTAAGGAGAAATGAAGGAAAGCCAAGAAAGGAACTGGACTGGGAAAACAGAAAATAATAATAATTATAATAAAGGGAAAGAAAAAAATGAACTCTTTCCTCTGGAATGAGGGCAAACCAATGAAGACATGATTTCATAAAGCAAACTTTCAGTTTGATTCATTCCCTTGTTCATCAGGTTGGAATGGTTTCCCAACACCCCCCACCCCCCAGTCTGGGCTTGTGGGGAATGGAGGAGCTTCATCATCTGGCCCTCTGCTCCACGCGTTAGTGCAGGGGGCCCTGTGCCTCCTCCCGGAGAGGAGGCAGACCAGCTTGTGGTCTGAGTGTTTACACACGCCAAAGGGCTCCTGCACTAAAGCCCAGCCCTGTCCTGAAAGCACACCCTCTCCTGGAAATGAGGAATTGTTTTCTGACTCCGGCATGGCTGGCTGCTCGATTCCTGTGCATGCATAAGGGCTCAGATAGGCTGGAAAGAGAGCTTCCGGAAACTTCACTCCGGAAAGGACTAAGTTGTATTCCAATTAGTTTGCATTCATGACTGATTTCCTGCCGTCTAGTGGAACACACTGTTTAGTCTCCCAGACAGCCACGGGCCTTCCTCTACCAGGGACTGGGCCACTTAACAGAATGGGGGCTGGATTGGGATTTTTCTCCTAGCTCAGCCGCTCCCTGCTAAAGCTTCTGCTGATTAGAGGAACAGGAAATTTCTCCAAAGGACTCTGCCTTCTTTTTCTTCCAAACCAGGACAAACTGCTCGAGACATGAAACTATGCTCATTCCCTCTTGCTTTTTGAACCCTTCCTCTGCTTTGGCATGCCACCCCTAGCAATGGCAACCAAATGGCAAAAGGGTGGTGCCGTGTGTGCTAGTGGGAGGTTGAGGAGTTGTTTCTCTCTGAGGACCATGAGCAGGCCTGTCACTAGTGGGAAGACTCTTACTCGACTAATTTTTTCCTCCTACCTGGGACAACAGTCCATCCTCAGAGCTTGGTCATCAGTATCTCACCAAGACTTTGTGTGCTACATCAAGGAAAAGGGTCAGTTATAGCCCCCATTGGTGGGATGGATGGGTAGTCAAGAAGTTCATCTTTTTTCTTTTGAATGGAAGCTTCTTGTGCTACAAGTAAGTCACTCCCACCCCCACAATGCTGAGCTCACCTTCTACGCACCTGGGATGTTGAGATTTATGTACAATAGTTCTGCTGCCTTACAAGGCAAAAATTTTCCCACTAAATCTCCACCTGGCTCCCTCCTACAAGGAGTGCCATGTCCTCAGGAAGGGACCAAGTTGGATAGGGGGAAAGTTTGGGAAGGACTTGAGTGAGAAATTAGTATGTCATCTTGGTATTATCTTTTTTGTTGTAGGTTCGGGCTACTACCCAGATGAAAGCTACAATGAAGTATATGCTGAAGAGGTCCCACGGGCTCCTGCCCTAGACTACCGAGGTAAACCTCCCTGTTTCTCAGGCTCAGAAAAGGGTCTTTTCTGGCTTAAGGCCTAGACCCTCCCTGAAGTATCCTCATCCAGCTTGGCTCATATGTACCAACACTTTTGCTCAGGGAATCAGGGGCTGTGATTGCCAATCATGAACTTGGTTACTGACTTGCTGTGTGACCTTACCTCTTTAGCACTAAGGCTACCCATCTATTATTAATCATTAAATATTGACTGAGTACCTGCTGTATGCCTAATCCTGTGCAGGGTAAGCCTGTGGATGATACAAAAGCTAAGGTAAGGTTTTGTCCTCCTCAAGGAGCTTACGTTCTGCTGGGGGCAGAGTGGGAGTGGGGGATGTGTGACAAGGCAATAAAATTAGCACACGTAGGGCAAGTGTGAAACTATGTGGTAGCAGTAAATGCAATAGAAGTTAAGAAAAAGAAGTCGGGGAAAGGATCATGAAAGACGATGTTTAGATTAGGCCTTGAATGATGGGTGGATTTTGAGAACTGGAGAAAGGAGAGGCGGGCATTCAGCAAAGCAGCTGGCCACAGATATAGAGGTAAGAACAAAGCAGTTAGAGGAAGGAGCTAAGAAGAAACCAGCCTGACTGGAGGAGATGAGATGTGGAGGAAGTAAGAGCAAATAAAGTTGAATATAAAGAGTGAGACAAAAATTAGGAAAGGCTCCATGATCTAGGGACCTCTCTTGGTCAGGCAGGAGAACTATCTGTGAAGAATACTGAATAGGGAGGGACTCCTACATTAGAAAGCAAGTTAGACCGGGTGATATCTAGTATCTCTTCCATTTCTAAGATTCTTTGTTTCTATGCTTTGCGAGCCGTGCAGAAAAGTTCAGCTGTTGTGTTAGGAGTTATAAGGAGCCATCATCATATGTCTTTGCACAGGGGGTGGCACGACAATGATAATTCCAGAATATCAACCTTGTTGTTGTCTACAGAAGTAGGGGTTCAGGAAAAGTAGAGCCTGGGTCAGGGAGACTCTTCATTACATGAATTAGTAATGGTAATGTTGGTCAGAGATGACTGAGGGTAGTGGCTAAGAAATGGAGAGGAAGGAAGAACCCCAGAGATGTTTCAAAGAAAGAGATGACAAGATTTGGTCCAGATGTGATGTACCAAGAGGCTAAGAAAAAACAGATATCTGAAAGCACCCAGTCTGAATACCTGGGAGAACTGAGAAAGACAAAGTTAGAAAAGAAAATTTGTTTGGGGAAGGTGCCCTACAGGCAGTGGGAAGTAGGAAGATGGAACTTAGATGGATGAGCTGTCTGAGAGACCAGAGGGCCAAAAGTCAGAGCCTTAGAGGACATCTACAGATGTGAGTAGGAGAAGAGAAGCCAACAAGGGAAAAAGAGATAGAAGTCAGCCATGTAGCCCTTTTGGCTCCCTGAGCAGCACCATGGCGGTCGGCAAGAACAAGTGCCTTATGAAAGGCGGCAAAAAGGGAGCCAAGAAGAAAGTGGTTGATCCATTTTCTAAGAAAGATTGGTATGATGTGAAAGCACCAGCTCTGTTCAATATAAGAAATATTGGAAAAACATTAGTCACAAGAACTCAAGGAACCAAAATCGCATCTGATGGCCTCAAGGGTCGGGTTTTTGAAGTGAACCTTGCTGATTTGCAGAATGATGAAGTTGCATTTAGAAAATTCAGCTAATTACTGAGGATGTTCAGGGCAAAAACTGCCTGACTAATTTCCATGGCATGGATCTTACCCATGACAAAATGTGCTCCATGGTCAAAAAATGGCAGACCATGATCGAAGTTCATGTTGATGTCAAGACTACCGATGGTTATTTGCTTCGTCTATTTTGTGTTGGTTTTACTAAAAAACGCAATAATCAGATTCGGAAGACCTCTTATGCTCAGCACCAACAGGTCCGTCAAATTCGGAAAAAGATGATGGAAATCATGACCCAAGAGGTGTAAACAAATGACTTGAAAGAAGTGGTCAATAAATTGATTCCAGACAGCATCGGAAAAGATATAGAAAGGGCTTGTCAGTCTATTTATCCACTTCATGATGTCTTCGTTAGAAAAGTAAAAATGCTGAAGAAGCCCAAGTTTGAATTGGGAAAGCTCATGGAGCTTCATGGTGAAGGTAGTAGTTCTGGAAAAGCTACTGGGGATGAGACCGGTGCTAAAGTTGAACAAGCTGATGGATATGAGCCACCAGTCCAAGAATCTGTTTAAAAGTCAGACATTTAATGGTGACAAATAAAAAAATCATATTTGTGATGTTTAAAAAAAAAAAGAAGTCAGCCATGTAGAAGGAGATTTGGGTAGTAGTTATAGTATCACAGAAACCACGTGAGAAGAGAGTTTTAAGGAAGGGGAAAGAATGAGATATCTACTGTGTCAAATATTGCAGAGAAAAAATGAGGGTATTTCAAACATTATATTTGGCAAGAAGAAGGTAAATGGTGACTTTTGAGAAAATGGTTTCAATCGAGAAATGATCAGAGCTTTGGGTTTCTCTGTGGTCCTTTCTAGCTTACCTACCTTCTACCCACCTTCTTCTTGTTGCCAAATGGTCCACACCCACTGCCTCTTTGCCTTAGCTCCCACTAACTCCTGAACTCCCTAAGGTCTGTTTTCCACTCGCCCACAAATCCCCATGCTGAAACAACATTCTTTGAAGATCACAATTCTCTCCCAATGCCTAAATCATATGGCCCCTTCTGGAACTTCAATCTCTCTAGTCTCTCAGCAGCAATGAGCAAATCCCTCTCTTTTTACCACCCCCCACATACTTAGGCTCCATGGCATTTCACTATTCTGGTCATAGCTCAAGCCAAGAAAGGAGATGGGCTCTCTAGTGGTGACAAGAGACAATGAGGCATGGATGTGAACTTTATACAACCCTGACATGTCTCCTGAGCTCCCAGATAAGATCTCCAACTGCTCCTGGAAACTTCCATTTGGAGATATCTAAAACTAAATTCTTTCATCTTCCCTGAAAAAGGCTCAACCAGCTGACCTTCCTGCTTTTGATAATAATACCATCATTCTCCAAAAAAATGACTCAATGACATTTTTGTTTGTTTCAAGTTTTTATTTAAATTCCAGTAGTTGGGGCACCTGGGTGGCTCAGTCAGTTAAGCCTCCAACTCTTGATTTCGGCTCAGGTCATGAGATTAAGCCCCACATTGGGCTCCGCACTGGGCATGGAGCCTGCTTAAGATTCTCTCTCCCTCTCCCTCTGCCCCTCCCCACCTGCTCATGCTATCTCTCTCTCTCTCTCTCTCTCTCTAAAATAAAATAAAATAAAATAAAATAAAATAAAATAAAATAAAAAATTCCAGTTAGTTAACATATGATGTATTATTAGATCCAGGAGTAGAATTCAGTGATTCATCACTTACATACAACACCCAGTGCTCATCACAACAAGTGCCCTTCTTTTTTTTCTTTTTAAAGGTGTATTAATTTATTATTTTAGAGAGAGAGAGAGAACAAGTGGGAAGGACAAAGGGAGAGGGAGAGAGAATCTCAAGCAGACTCCAAACTGAGCACAGAGCCGGACAAGGGGCTAGATCCCTCAACCCTGAGATGATGACCTGAGCTGAAATCAAGAGTCAGGCACTTAACTAACTATGCCACCCAGGCGCCCCACAGCAAGTGCCCTTCTTACTACCCATCACCCATTTAACCCATTCCCCGCCCACCTCCTCTCTGGCAATTCTCAGTCTATTCTCTATAGTTAAGAATCTGTTTCTTGGTTTCCCTCTCTCTTTTTTTCTCCCATGATTGTTTGTTTCATTTCTTAAATTCCACATATGAGTGAAATCATGTGGTATCTGTCTGTCTCTGACTGAATTATTTCCCTTAGCATAATACACTCTAGTTCCATCCACATCATTGCAAATGACAAGATTTCATTCTTTTTTGATGGCTGATGAATATTCCAGTGTGTGTGTGTGTGTGTGTGTGTGTGTGTGTGTATGCCACAACTTCTTTATCCATTTGTCAGTCGATGGACATTTGGACTCTTTCCATAATTAATGCAGCTATAAACATCAGGATGCATGTGTCCTTTTGAATCACTATATTTGTATCCCTTGGGTAAATACCTCGTAGTATATTTTTAACTTTTTGAGGAACCTCCATGCTATTTTCCAGAGTGGCTGCGCCAGTTTGCATTCCTACCAATAGTGTAAGAGGGTTCCCCTTTCTCCATCAATGGCATTTTTAATAGCCCCTTTTCCTCATCACCTCTCACTAGTCATTCACCAAGAACTATCATTTCTTTATTACTCCATGGGATTAAAACTTTTATTACCTCACACATGGATAACGACAATTGCCTCCTAACTGGATTCTCTGACTCATGTTTTTCCCTTCCCGAAACCTAGTGGCCCACTGTGACCATTTCTTTTTTTCTTTTTTCTTAATCCACTTAGCTTGTGGTACCCACTGGGACCATTTCTAACAGAATTTGGTCTCAGTCTAGCTGTCCAGGCTGAGAATTCATTACCGCTTCTCTCCACATGAAATCTATGCTTCAGCCAGATGAGTAGAACTCTACTCTGGTCCCTCCTGGCTTTAGCCCACACTGAGCTTTCCCTCATCCATTTCCTCATTCCCTTCCATTCATTTATTCAATAAATATTTACTGAGTACCTACTATGTACTTCCTTTAAAATAAATATTTATTGTGTGGACCACTCATCTGGCATTCATCATGTACTGTCCCTTTGGTTTACTTTTTTGTTACCCTCAACAAAATAGTTACCTGTTAACAGAAGGAGCCATGTATGATACCCCTGCAGAGCTATGCAAAAAGTCGTGCTCAAGAAATGTTTACTGGCTGGTTGGCATCTGGGAACAGAAGCCAGATTGTAGGAAACTGTGAATGGGAGAAGTAGAAGGGAAAAGGCAACAGACGGGAGGTCTGGCAGCCCTATGATTAATATTAACCTGTGTCATTGGTTCTTTTTAAATGTTATAAAGCTCCTTAGAAAAATGTAAGTGACGTGGTGGCCT